AGTGAAAACTGAGCCTCTCTCCCTTCCCCGGCTCCCAGCCATCCAGCTCCTCTCTCCAGAAGCAACCATTGTTTCCTTTCTTCTGCATCCTTCCAGAAAAGTGCCAGACTTGACCAAGCATATGTGACAGAGTGCTTCCTTTGCCCCACTTTTATTTATTGCTGCGGTCACCTCCTGTCTCTGCACTTCTGCCTTTTTCACTTGTTTTCAACTATCTTGGTGACAGTTCCATATTAACATATTGAAGGCGGTTTCTTCTTTCTAACAGTCAGGCAGTGGTTCATGTTATCCTCAGAGGTCATTAGATTCTGACAATTAGGGAGACCAGAGATCCTGAGAAAAAGGAGAAAGATCAGAGCTACAGAAGCCCAGTTTGGCTTGTTTTTTTCCCCCCCTTTTTTTTTTTAAACCTGGAATTAATGCCATTGTAAATTATTGCTTAGAATTTGCAATTTAGAAAACACATGGGAAAAATTCTTCCAGAAAAAAGAGAGGAAGAGCAAAAATGATCAATTGGGTTCTGCAGACTGAATTTAGTTTTTCCCTTTAGACATGTCACAGCAGCCCACTAATAGTGTCAGGCCACGTAACCTGCAGTAGGTAAGACAGATGCAGATTTGAGGGTCAGGAGAGAGAGTACTAGCCTGATTTCTTCTGGTGAGCCAGCCTTCCACTGTAGAAATAAGAATACGCCCATTAGTCCAAGCCATCCTGGGGTCCTGAGAAGGAGATTTTAGCAAATGAATACAAACAGTGGGGAAGGAATACTCGTGTTCTTTTGGCTTAACTTTTCAGAGTACCTCTTCTGTTTTATAAAAGGCATTTAAGCTTGTTGTAAAAGGAAGGAAGAGAGAAAAGCAGGAAGGAAGGAAGAAGATAAGTAGGGAGGTTGCTTAGAAGGAAGGGAAGAAAGAGGGAGAGAGGAAGGAAGAAAGGTTGGTTCCATGTGATATTCATTTAACAACTACATTTAACTACCTTATGTGGCAGCCCTATTCCTGACTGGACACAATGCAGAAGGCTGCAAGTGAGGTGGGAAGAGGGGAAACACAGATGCATAGAACACACAACAAATCCTCATGAGGTGAATTCAGTAAGGGAGCACAGGATTGCGTGATTGAGTGTGCCTGGGCTAGGAGGGAGTACCAGGAAGTCGAGTGGTCAGGGGAGGCCCCTCGGAGGAGGTGACATTTGAGCTAAGCTGGATGGATGAGAAGTTGCTATTCATGGGGAATGCTAGCTGGGTACTCTAGGCAGTCAGAAAAGCCAGTGCAAAGGCCCTGGGGCAGGAGCATGCCTGGTGTGTTTTAAGGAATCTTAGAATGCCTGTGCAGAAGGCGATGAGGACAGAAAGGGGCCAGGGAAGATTGTTTGGGACTTTGTGGGCTGTGGTTAAAAATGTTTTTAGAAAATGAATCCCCCATATATCCAGTTTAGGAGCTGAGAGTATGGTGAACCTCAGTATATCAAGCTAAGCTGTGTGTGAGTTTTGTTTTCTAAAAAAAGATTTCATACCACTTCTTCATTCCCATGACCTACCTGGGAAAACCTCTTCCTGTGTCGTATGGACTGGCTTCACTTCTTTTTAGCAGCTACACAGAATCGTTCTGTGGTGCCTTGCCATCCTTCGCTGTAGGGCCTTGCCTTTCCCCTCCTTCTGTATTTACCCTACAGACAGGACCCCATGAAGTATCCTCGTATACCTGGCACATGTGGGTTGATGTGGACCTTTCTGAAGGGCCCACGCTCAGAAGTAGGACTTCTAGGGCAGAGAGAGAGCATGTTTTAAAGTTTTTAGCGGGCCCCAGCTTGTGTGGCTCAGTGGATTGAGTGCCGGCCTGCGAACTGAAAGGTTGCTGGCTCGATTCCCAGTCAGGGCACATGCCTGGGTTGCAGGCCAGGCCCCCATTTGAGAGCGTTCAAGAGGCAACCAGTTGATGTATCTCTCACACATTGATGTTTCTCTCTCTGAAAATAAATAAATAAAAATCTTTTTAAAAAATAAAATGAAGTTTTCAGCAGGTCTTTTTTATACCTCTGTCAGAGGAGAACCTCATGGGTAATTGCACTTTCTTGCTGTAGATGAACTGAAGGCCTGACTTCCTTCCTCCCCACCATCAATGGGCACAGCAGACAGCATGCTTGCACTTCCCTATGCAGGGGATTCTGGGAAATGATAAAGTGTAAAGGGACAGGTGAAGAGTGGGTCCCCTTCCAGCTTCCATGGGAAGAACAGAATACTCTTTGGGTCATGTGCATCTCGTTCTCTCTCTGTCTGTCTCTGTTTCTCTCTTAGATCTGAAGCTTTTCACTTGCCCAGAGAACACTATAACAGCCCGAATTACCTTAAACCTGGAATTCTAATTTGAGAAAATATGACCTAACAAGAAAAACTTGCCACCTCTCTTCCTTTCTTTGTTAAGATCCCAGAGCTGAGAGCTGAGAAAACGAGGGGAAAAATGTACACTTCAAAAACCTCAGGAGGCCCAAGGCATCTTTTTTCTTCATGGGTTCAAAGACTTTTTTTCTACTTTATTTATTTTTAGAGAGACGGGGAGGGAGGGAGAAAGAGAGGGAGAGAAACATCAACTGGTTGCCTCTTGGCACACTCTCAACCAGGCATCTGGCCCACAACCCAGGCAAGTGCCCTGACTGGGAATCAAACTGGCGGCCTTTCAGTTTGCAGGACAACACCCAACCCACAGAGCAGCACCATCCAGGGCTCTTTTTCTTTCTTGAGTTACAAAATGATGGAAGTCTATGTGTTACTTTTTTTAAAATTAGTTATTTTTATTATTACAACGTGATTATGGTAAAATAAACTAAGACAGTTAGAAGGGTATAAGGTGAAAAGTCAGTCCATTTTTCCACTTCCTAATGACTCCCACCTCCCAGAGCTAATCATTGTTCATCATTTCTTCCAGCTTTTTTCCTGCATCTAAAAGCCAATTTTTTTTTAAAAAAAAGTGATTGTGTTCCACTAACGTGTCTTTTTTCATGCCATCTCTATGATATGAACATGACAGTCAAGCACGACAGTGGCACCTATGGGCTCTGCAGCCTGGGGGCCTTGGCAGGAATCTCCACGTAGAGGCTGTGTGACTCTGGACAATTACTGCAGAGTTACTTCATCTCTCTGTGCCTCAGTTTCCTGCCTGTTCAATGGGAGTGATAGTAACAGTGGCTCCTGGGGAGAGCTGCTGTGCAGATTAGACAACTTACACGGGGTCCTCAGGATGGTGGATGGTGCCTTCAGCGTCAGGAGGGCTGTGCTCCTGTTAGCTGTTGCTTCTTCTCTCCTGAGTGGCAGCACCTCAGGTCAGAGACCAAGTTTTCACCGGGGAAGTAAGACCTGAGCCCAAAGGCTGAGCCACAATCAGAAGGCAGGAGGAGTCCTGACAGGTGTGGCTCAGTGGGTTGGGCATCATCCTGTGGACAGAAAGGTCACCAGTTCGGTTCCTGGTCAGGGCACATGCCTGGGTTGCAAGGCAGGTCTCTGATTGGGGGTGTGAGAGAGGCAACCTATCGATGTTTCCCTCCCTGTCTTTCTCCCTTCCGTCCCCTCTTTCTAAAAATAAATAGAATATTTTTTTAAAAAAAGAAGACAAGGGGAGGTCTCAGGGTAAGTCCCAGGAGTGGAGGATGTGAGCCCCAGAAGAGGGTCAGGGAGCTGTGGAGCCAGCAGGTGGGGTAAGGGAGCAGCAGAGAGACTGTGCAGTTCAAAGTGCTGGTCAGCCCAAGCAAATAGTTACAAGGGCAGCCCTCACTTCCCAAGAATCACGCTGTGTCAGATGCTGCCCAAGGGCTTTGCAGCAAACCCCACAATGCCATGAGATCAGCATATTTTTCTGAAGAGCAAACCGAGGGCGAGAATGGTGGTATCACTTGCCCGGGGTCTCATGGCAGGAACAAGCAGAGTGAGGATTCAAATCCAGGTCTGTCTGTCTCTAGGGCTGTGCTTTAGTGGCTTTTAAGCCACAGAGTGTTCTGGAAGGCAGTGCAGGGTCAGCTTTGAGGGGGTGATTACAGTGACTCGGGCTCACAGACCAACTTCTGGAACAGGAAGCCTAGTAGAAAGCAGGGATGGGAAATTTGAGGTGCTCCAGCACCCCTCAGTTACCTCATGATGCGTGAGCTCTCTTATCCATGTGACGAATGAGGAAACCGAAGCTAGGGAAAGCTGAAGACAGCCCCTAGAACACCCAGGCCAGAGGTCTGCTGCCTGTGGCCCACCACTTGCATGTGGGGATCAGTCCCCCTGGGGGGTTCCTTCTCTGTGCGACCCCATTCCTCTTGTGTGGCCGGAAGTCCTGATGTAGGCCACTCTCATCTCACCTACAGAGTTTCCTCACTGTCTCCTTGCTTCCACTCTTGTCCCTACCTCCATGAGGGTCACTTTTCTGTTCAGCAACCAGAGCAGTCCCTCTAAAATGAGAATCAAGACTTAGCACTCAGCTCAGAACTGCTGAGCCTCCCCACATGGCATCCAAGTCCTCACAGTGGCTCGTGAGTTCCCGCACAGTCTGCCCAGTCCCCATGCAGACCTCACTTCCCATCACCCTGCCCTCGCTCACTCCACTCCACCCCTCCAGTCCTCAGACTCACCACCCGTGTTCCCACTTCACCCCCTCAGAAAGGCCATCCTCCATCCCCATCATTCTGTCCATTTACCCAGCTTTATTTTTCTTCAGAACACCTCTTTCTACCTCACATTCTGGGATCTCTCTGTTCATTTGCTCACCATCTGGCTCCCCAACTGGAGGTCGGCTCCATGTTCACTGCTACACCCCCTCCAGGAACAGGCATGGTGCAGAGTAGGTTGCCAGGCAGTATTTGAGGGGTGAGCGATTGGAGAATAAACAAGGTCCCTCTTCACACACAAGTGAGGTAGAGAAGGCTGCATTCATTCACCCAGTGACAGCAGGCCTTGGGTCAGGACAACTTTGAGAAGCAGCTCCAGCCTCCCCGAGATCCCTCTGACTCTGACCTTCTCATTCAAGGCAGGTGGACACCAACACGAAAAATGTCTTTGGGCAGCCACGGTTGAGAGCGTCCCTCCGCGACCTCCGTTCCCCACGGAAGAACTATAAGTCCACCATCGAGGATGACCTGAAGAAGCTCATCATCATGGACAACCTGGCTCCAGAGCAGGACAGAGATGCAGGAGTATGTAGCGGGCGGTATAGGAGGGTGAGGGAGGAGGACGTACCTCCCTGAGGTCACTCCAGCCTCTTCCTGCAAGGCCTCGGCCTTCAATCCCTGCCAGCCCTGTTTGGGTGTATGTGACTTCATGGCCAGAACTCAGGACATTGGTCAGGGACAGAAGCTCAGTGTAAAGCAGCTTGGTGGGCACACAGGAGATTTATTCCACCCTACAGGACCTCATGTGATTGGGGGAGATGCTCTTAGAGGCACTCAAGTCCTCATGGAGCCCACGGTGGAAGCAGCCCCCACCCACTCAACCACAGGGACCAAAAGTAGAGGCAGCGTTCCTAGGGGCCAAAAGAGCAGTTGTCCTTGGTCCCTCTATACCCCACCTACCCCTGACTGGTCTCACTCTCAAGCAGATACTCTTGTGGGGACTAAGAGAGCTCTATCCCTTAACATTAGAGGAAGACAGCCCCCTATCCTCAGTGGTCCTCAGCAATGACTGGCTCTCACTGGTCCATCTTGGGCCACACCACCTCCCCTAACCTTACCTGGCACTGGTGGGTAGACTTGGCCCTCCAGAACCAGGTGGCCTGCAGGTGAGGGAAGAAGAATCCCCAGGGAGAAATTGGTATGCTTTGACCAGCAAGGGAACAAAGATGGATGCTGGGTGAGTAAGAACCACAGATATCCAGGACAAGAAGGAGCCTCTGATGACAGTGACCATGAGCCAGGCCATGACCACACCCCGCATCCCTTCCTTGTCTCAACAGCAGTCACCACAGAAGAGTCTGCAGCGGACACTGTCTGATGAGAGTCTGTGCAGTGGGCGGCGTGAGCCAAGCTTTGCCAACCCGGCCAGCCTGGACGGGGGCCTGCCCAGCGACGTGCTCTTCACCAGCACCTGCGCCTTCCCCTCCAGCACGCTGCCCGCCCGCCGCCAGCACCAGCACCTCTACCCACCTGGCAGCGGCCTCAGCACCATCCCTGCCCCTGGCAACAGCTTCCCAGAGAAGAAATGTGAGCCTGGGTAACCTGGGGCTGGCAGGAGAGTTACGCCAGAGTAGGGAGATGGTGGGAGATCAAAGGCCAGAAGTCATCGGAGTCAGCTGAGAGAGGAAACTGGGGTGCAACATGAACTTAAAGAAGGTCAGCAGATGAACTCCTGGGTGTGACCCAAAGCAAAGGATTGTTGGCCAAGCCTCGGGGGGTCAGCTAGGAATCTGGAGGACCCAAGGACTGGGGTCATCTGACACCAGAAATGGGAGTTGAGCCTTCCCAGATACAGTCATGTGGGGCCCTGAGGATCAGGGATTTGCGTCAGCCAACCCCCTGCCCCGCTCCCTGTTCCAGTACCAAGCAGATGACCTAATGAACGTCACTTTACCTACCTGAGTCCCCCAGATCTGCCCAGGGAGAGAGTGGTACAGGGATGTGGTTCATCCATCCCTTTATTCATCAGTCATCCAGCAAATATTGCTGAGTGTCCCCCATGGAGGGGGCACTGTGCACAAAGCCCCCATCTAAAAGCCTTTGGTCTACCTTGTAATCCCTTTCCCATACCCCAAAAGCTCTAAAACTGAAGGGGGTTGCAGAAGGTAGGGCCAGGCGTGCAGGACAGCACAACCCAACATGAGCGCATGGGAGGCTCTTTATGGTCCTTCCTGACTACCTGCATAGTTCATTGCAGCATGCTAGTGTTTTGAATATGGTTGCTGCCTGATCCCTCTGAGTGTGCTAAGTCATATACAGCACAGCTTTCCCAAGTCCAAACAAATACGGATTCCAGAGATAAGTCTCCCCAAGGGTTTTAGCTGAAGGGTTGGGTCTTGTATTGTCTAGATGGACCCTCTTGTATCACAGGGGATGGGATGGAAGAAGCTCTGGGGCTTTTTTGAGGGGGTCTGTCTCTGCTTAAAATCCTCTCTTGGCTCCCTATTGCCATAGTGTCTGGATTCATACTCCTACCTGGCGTTTTGGGACTCAACCTCAGCTCTTCCACTTCATGGCACCCTCCTCTAGGTCCCCCAGTCCACCAGATTCTCCTTCCTCAGTGCATTCCACGTGTCTGTGTCCGCCTCCTGCCATGCTCTTTTCCCAACTCTGTTCTCGATGACCCCTTCTTCTCCTAAGGGCTTTGCTCAGTTATTTCTCTTTCCTGGATGTCTGCCCCACGCCCCAAGCTAGGTCAACTCCCTGGCTTACACTCCAGAGCACAAACTCGCCCCCTCATTATCTTCATTCCACAATGGGGAGGGCCAGGCTCCATTCTAGGTGCTAGGCGCACAGTGATGAGCACATCAGAGAACATTCCTGCCCTAGTGGAGCTGAGTTTTAGTGGGAATTCCTCAAGCATCCCTAAAAGTCGCTCTGTGTCTCCTTTGTCTCTCATCCTTACTGCCCCATTGCCTAAGTCAGGGCTTAGCACATGGTTGGCATTCTACACATACTGAGCAGAGGGTAGAAGGTGAGAGAGGGGCCAAGGCAGAGGTAGTATGCACAGAAAACACAGAAAGACAGATTTCAGTGCTTCTAACCAGTTCTGCCTCATCCTCAACTCAGATGCTGCCACCTCTAGCAAGTCCTCCCTCCCCGCCAGAATGAGTCAGGCACCCCCTCTCAGCCCCCAGCACACCTTGGGTTCGCATCCCATTCCTGATTCCTCTGCCTTCTTTCCCTATCACAGTCCCATTCACTTTAGGCTGTCTCTCTGTAGGAATGGATCCATCCCCTTTGCTGGACTGGGGGATCCCTAAAAGGAAGACACAGGTCACTATGGTGACCCCAGCCCAGAGCTCTCTCACACACAGCACACACATACACCTCTCTTTGCCCAAATGATACCCCTCACCCCCTGAGCCAGGAGAGTCCCATCTGGCCTCGGCATGGCCAGGGTTCCTGGACCTCTCTGCTTCTCCCGAGCCTGCTCAAGGGCCCTTTTTAAGCCACATCCCGGCTGAAGAGATGATGTTGGCCTGGCCCAGGCTTCACCAGTGAAGGACCTTCCAGCTCAGCAGCGAAGTGAAATGCTTGGCAGGCTGGAGATGCAGAGTGTGGTGTTGAAGGGCTCAGCTTCCTTCCTGGCCTTTGTCATTCCCCTGAGCATTCATTCAGCAAGTGGACAGGGCGTCCGCTTGTCCCAAGAGCTGGACGCCCTGAGGTCCCCACTCACAGAAGTAACCTCTCTGTACCTCAGTTTCTGTGAGAGTAAAACATGGGCAAAAATAGTGCCCACCTCATTGCATTAATCTAAGAATCCAACTAGTTAATACATGGAAAGCAGTAGCACAATGCCTAGCATCTGGTAAGTTCTGAAAAAAACAGTAGCTATTCATTACTTTTGTTGTTAGTATTCCATCATCTGGAGCAAGTATTATAATCAGCCTCAAGTCTGGTTTGTGCCTGTGCATTAGAGATCAGGGTTAGAAGAGTGTCAACAGAGACCTTCTGAACACCAAAACCCTGTGGGCTTGGGCTTGGAGGGTCAGCATAAGACCACTGGCAAGTGTAACCGTGGGCAAGGCAGCTTGCTCTGAGCCTCAATGTCCCCTGCTCAGCATTGGGGGCATAATGCCACCTCCCTCCTGGCTGATTGGAGATTAGCCTATGAGATGGCCCTGTAGCACCCAGCACAGTGCCCAACAAGAGGACGCACTCAAGGTACACTGAGCAGCCCTGGTTCAGCTAGCCTTTCCTGCCTGAGTCACCTCATTACCTCCGTGTGCCTTGCCATCCTGCTCTGTCCCTTAATGGGCTGTCAGGCATCAGTGAGTTGAGTCCCAGGAGCTATGCCCGACACAAGGAGATTCACCTGGGCACAAGGGAATTCACTCAGTGGCTATAGCAAATGCAACTGCTGACGCAGCACTTGCACTGTCTGTCACTTTTAATACCCTGAGGCTTCAGGGGCACCTTTCTCTGCCTGAATCCACCAGGTCCCCCCACAAGTGAGGCTGCCACAGTAAACACTATCCAGACACTGACAACCCAGTTATATCTGCCACCTGACACCCACTCCAAACTCCTTGTGGGGGTCCAGTGGAAGCTCACACTCCATGCCCCCAGAAACAAACTTCTGATGCCACCCCCAGCCTTTCCCATCTCAGTGCCAGCTCCAGAATCCTGACGTCACTGGCTGCTTCTCTGTCTCACACCCACATCCACTTTCAGGAAGTGCCGTTGACTCCACCTACAGAGTAGAAGCAGGATCTGCCCATTTGTCCCTCCACAGCCCACGTGGTCTTGTCCACCTTGTCTCCCTTCCGGACCACCGCAGTAACCTCACTGCCTCCCTGCTCCCCGCACCCCCTTCACCATTGTGCCCCAAACAAAGCCTGTGAACACTGCATCAGGTCATGTCCCTCACTCAGAGCCCTCCTGTGACTCCATCTCACTTAAGAAGAGGCAAAGTCCACGTTATGGCCCACAAGGCCCCATGCAGTCCGGCCCTGTCACCTCTTTGACTTCACCTCCCATTACTCTTCCTCTGACCCAGCCACATGGCTACCTCGATGTGCCTTAAACATATAGGCAGATTCCAGCCTTGGGGATTTTGCATCTGCCTGGATGCTCTTCCCCCAAGTAACCCCTGGCTCAGTCCTCCCCTCTTTCAGAGCTCTGTATAGACACCATCTCAGTGAGGCCTCCCCTAGCACCGTTTAAAATTATACTCACACAACTATCCAACACTCCCATCCTCCTCTTCCCTGCTAGATATTTTCCCTGGCATTTATCATTTAGTAAATACAGTATTTAGTTATATGTTAATGTAACAATTACATAATGTTGCATAGTTACATATAAATTATAACAAAATACTAATTTCTTTGTTTCTTTCACGTTGTCATTCTCACCCACCCCCCTATCTGTACTGTCCCCACCTAGCTACTGTCTCAGCCTCTGAGCTCTCACTGGCTGATGGGCGGGACCGGCCACTGCGACGCCTCGACCCCGGGATGATGCCACTGCCCGATACAGCTGCTGGCCTCGAGTGGTCCAGCCTGGTAAACGCAGCCAAGGCATACGAAGGTAAATGCCCTCCACCCAACCCCACTAGATCCTACCCACTTCTGTGCCCTAAGGATCAGTGGGGGCCCTTGGGGCTTTGAAGGGAGATACACTCAGGTTCCAGAATGAGGAAGAACAGGGTTCACATCCTTCCCTGTCACTTGCTTGCTGCGCAGTCCTGGGCAAATGTCCTCATCTCTCTGATACCTTGTCTGCAAATCAGGGATGTGACTGTGCCCACAGCTTGTGGCTGCAGTGCAGATTATATAAAACTAGGTATAAAACATGTCAGGCACAGAGCAAGCCCTCAACATATAGTCCCTCATATTATTACTATAGGGCAAAATTTAAGCAATCCAAATTGTGTTTAGACCTGCTTTGGCTACAAGTGGCAGAAGATACAAAATAATAGTGACTTAAACACTCCAGGTTTTACACAGGTACAATTTCCTGGGCTGGGCTGCCTGGGGCTGGTGTGGCACTTCCACAAGCACAGTGGATGCAGGCTGCTTACCCCCACAGTGAAGCTACTAGGGTTCTGGACATGATGTCCAGCTTTGACCATCAGGAGAGCGAAAGACACTTCCCAAAGCCTCTCACTCCTCCTATGCTTACTTCCATTGGCCAGAGTCTCACACACGGCCACCCTGGGTGGCTGCAAAATGAGGCCATGTGCCTAGCTGAAATTTGAGATTTGTTATTATAGAGAAAGAGAAAAACTGATCAGGAGGGACAGCTAGCAATCACTGCCATTTTCTTCCCGTGTGATCTTGGGTGAACGGCTTTACCTTTTTATACCTTTGTTTCCTCATCTAAAGCGGTGCTCATGGTGATCCCTGACAGACACGAACATATTCTTCTGGCTCATTTTTTTATCTTTTAAGCCACAGCCCCCCCTGGTATCCCCTAGTCTGGATCAGGTACCTCCTCTGGGCTCCCACAGCGCTGGCCCCTCTCCCTGCGCCCCCATCCCTGCCCTGGCCACTCTGAGCCATTGCTCTCTAATGATGAGTGTGTCTCCCCACATGGACCAGGAGGGCCGGACCCCTGGGCTGTCATCTGTGCCTGGCCAGCATGGGCCTGGCACAGATCTGTTAAACCAGGTCCATCCTTCATTTCTCCACGTTTGAGCCAGTCCACACCTGGCATGTGGCCCTAGAGGAAACTTCCTTATTCATTTGCTTCTGTCCATTGTTTCCATCCCTTCGCGCAGCCTCCGCTGGCCAAAGGGTAAAAGCAGTCAGGCCTGGGGTGGGGGGTGAGAGGGAGAGTGGCCGGAGCATATGAGGCCCAGCCCCCACTCTGTCCCAGCCTTCCACTTGAGAACTACCAGGAATGGCTACCAGGCAGAAGCCCAAGGCTGCTGATGAATGTGACCCTCAGGAGGCCTGACAAGCTCAGTGGTAGAAAAGGGTTGTTTAATGGTGCTTCCTGAAGGAGGTGATTCTGCAGCCATGATGGCATTACCAGGCATCTCCGAGCCAGCACTCTATCACTTAGTCTGAGGGATATATTAGGATCCCCATTTACAGATGAGGAAACTGAGGCTTGGCCGCCACATCACCTAGCGAAATAGTAGTTTTCAGCATGTGCGAGTTATTGCGTGTCAATCAAGCCTCAATAAGGCCTATGGGTGTCCAGCCTTTTGGCGTCTCTGGCCACACTGGAAGAAGAAGAGTTGTCTTGGGCCACACATTAAATACATTGCAACCCTTAATCACAAAAAAATCTCATAGTGTTTTAAGTAAATTTACAATGTTGTGCTGGGCTGCATTCACAGCCATCCTGGGCTGCATGCAGCCCGCAGGCCACAGGTTGAACACCCCTGGAAAGAAAGGAGTAACTGGGTAGATAATGAAAGCAAAGTAGAGGCAGGGGAGGAAACCAGAGTTGATGTTGAAAATTGTTGGAACCAGCAATGGGTTCATGAGGATCCATGGTGCTGTTTTCTCTGCTTTGGGGCATGTGTGACATTGTTCATAGAAAAATATTTTCAAAGAGAATAGATGTTAAATTCAAGGTAGACAGTGACATCTATAGGGGATGTTATTTGGCTAATTGAGGGAATTTCAAGATGACTATCTATTAGACAGTCACCCTGTATAAATGTTAAAGTTCTTGAGTATGACGGTGTGTTGTGATGATATGAGAGTGTCCTCATTTTTTGGAGAAATATAATGAACTATGTAGAGGTGAAGCACCATGATATTGGCAATTTACTCACAATAGTAGGAAAAATATGTACACGTGCAGGTAAGTGGGGAGAAAGGTCAGTATGGCACACTGTTTCTGGTTGGTGGCTCTGAGCAAAGGGTATTCAGGTATTTACTGTGCTTCCTCTCTGAGCAGGAAATGTCCTGTTAATTGGGAGCCACCCTGGTTGGACGGCAGTGTGTGCCCTGCACCTGCGGGCCGCGCCCTGCCCCGCCCGGTACCCCGCCTGCAGGCCCTCCTCCTGGGTTTAACGCCCCGCTGCCCGGCAGCAGTCCCAGGCTCAGCGAACTGGCTGCTCGGTGGTGCGTCAGGGCTGTCACCAATTCTTGGCATTACAGAAAAATCCCCAAACAGTCCTGTTTGAAATTGCCGGCACTCAGGCCCCACCGCAGAGCAAGCCGTGTGTCTGGGGCCCCATGAGTGTTTGCTTTCAACCGGCAGTCCCTGTGGCTTCTTTTCTCTTCTCAGTGTATGTGATACTCTCTGTTTCACATAGCTTTTTGCTTTTGTGATTTCATAGACATTCTCAGAACTGGACTATAATGAACCCTCATGTACTGTGTGTCACCCAGCCTCACTGCCTCCACTTTTGGCCATTTTTTCTGCCATTTATTTCTTGGCGAAAGCAGAGAGTGTGCCAGATTCTGAATTGGGTTCCTCACACTGTAATTTAACTTTCTCTTTTGAATTTTGTCTAATCTACTCATTTGGTCTAGGGGCTTGCTCAGAATCACAATGAGGTTTTGTGTCCTTATCTGGTTCCGGTTTTTGACAAGAATTCATCCACAGTACCTGTGACACTGGGAATGTGGTGAAGGTCCGGCGGTAGGTGCACAGGGAGAGGCCTTGTATGAGGAGGGACTGGGAGCCCTGCTGACCCCTCTCCCCTCTCTCTCTGCCAGTGCAAAGAGCTGTCTCGCTCTTCTCTCTCAACGACCCAGCTTTGAGCCCAGACATGCCACCTGCACAGAGTCCTGTCCACAGCCATCTGAGCCTGGAGAGAGGGCCCCAGACACCCAGGACCACCCCAACCATGAGGTGAGGCTTCCCTGGGAACACCGAGGGGCCTGGCAATCCAGCTTCCTGCAGGTGGAGGGCCCATGCAGTGAAAGAGGAACACCTGGGTGAGTGACAGCCACTGCAGGTCATCCCACCGCCTGCCTGCAGTAGCTGAGGAACATCTCCCTCATCTAAGAGATGTGGAGTGATCCACGCGCTGGGCCCAGCATTGAGCCAGTCACAGTTGGCCCTGTCCTCGTGGTGGGGTGGACACAACACCATAGTCAGTGTTCTCATTGCACTTCCAACTCTGAAAAATGCTAAGTGGTGCCCTTCATTGCGCCCTCTGTCTGTTCCTAGGTGTCCTCCTCTGCACATTCCTAAATTACACGAATCTTCCCTAGCATCGGGGAGGGGGGCTGAGGTGGGCTGGAGTAATGAGACAGAACCCCCACCTTCACAAGGCTTCCTGGGGGAGGGAGGAGGAGAGGGACTCAGGCCTGTCTGTCACTTTTTAATCTTTGACTTCTCTGTCTTGGCAGAAAATTAAGTTAAAGAGGGAGAGTAAATGGAAACGGTAGGTTTGTAAGTCCGTGGGAGTAAATAGTGCATTTCACACTCATGCACACACCCCGCTCTCCTTGTAGGGTTCAGTATACAACAGTCATACACTGGACCTTGTGGGCAGTACACAAGATTTTTCAGGGTAACCTTGAGTCTTGTTGCTGCCTTTACACACTGGCTTCAGGACTCAACCTCCACCCAGCGTGGCCCCACTGTAATTACATGAACTAGGCAGTTACAGGTGGTGCTACCACAGAGAGGGTGGGAACAGGCTAGGTGTGGAAATGGACCTGTGGACCCTGCGTGCTCTCCTGGATTCCTTTTGCCCCTGAACTGGTGACCTCCTCCCTCCTTCATCCCACCTCCCCCAGCAGCTGCAGGTCCCCACGATCCCAGACCATGGAGGGAGGAGGAAAGGAGTAGGGAGGGCAGGAGAGCTGAGTGCTCTCCCCTTCTTGGGCTGAGACACTGGCCTGCCTTCATCTGCTGCAGCCCGCCCTCTCCCCAGCATACAGCAGGTGTGGGTGTCCCACGGGCCCAGTGGAGCCTTCTGCAGGAAGGGGCCGCCTGCTCTCCCTGTGGGGGCCAGGCAAACCCAGGACGGGGTAATCTGCTCAGAGGAAGAGCCACAGGCTGGGGTCCTGGGTGCAGCGTCCCTACCTGAGCCTGGGTTTCTCCTCTTCCAGTGGGTAATGACTTGGTGATCTCCCGGGCTGCACTGCACCAGAGCTCTGTTAGGTTGAGACTGTGCACAGTGCAGGGTGGGCTCTCAGTGACAGCGGGCTGTCATTCTCCTCCTCATTCTTGTTATTAGTACCTTCCACTAATGTCGCTCGTGTGCTGAAGCAGTGCCTGGACCTGCCAGGTGTTCGGTGGATGTCTACAGGGCGGGTTCTTTGCCTTATGCTACATGAGGCGGTCCCACGTGGGAGGACACATGTGACCTCCCTAAGCACACTCGGCCCATCCTCTGGGGAAGGCTCACTTCAGGGCAAGCAAGATGCACAGCCTTTGACCCCACCCACATGTGTCCTTGCTCGAGGGAGGCCAGGAGGAGGGCTGGCTTCCCCCAAGACCTTCTCCTCCAGGCCCTGTCGGGTCACCAGCAGGGAAAGAACTCCCCAGAACCTCAGGAGTGAGAGAGACCTGACCCTGTCCCCTGTCTTTCCAGTGAGGAGCCACCCCTTGATCTGACAGGCAAGGTGTACCAGCTGGAAGCAATGCTGAAACAGCTGCACACGGACCTGCAGAAGGTAAGCTCCCCTCTACCCCACTTCCCAGACACTTGGGGGGCCAGCAAGGCAGAGGCACCTGTCCCCCACCCCGTCTGTTCTGGGGGAAACCACCCAGCTTTGAATGGCGTCATGAATAAAGGCTAGTGAGCTCACAGAGAAACTCGCACATTCTTGGAGGAGGAATAAATTGGTCTACCTTTTTGGGGGACAGTTAGACAATATTTATCAAAAATAAAATTATGAACCACGTTGACCCAGCAATTCCACTTGTGGGAATTTGTCCAGCCAGATTTCAAGCATGGGCACAAAGGGATCCATAAGCAAAGATGTTCATGCTGCACTGTTGGCAAAACAAAAAAATTGGAGCCTGTATAGCAGTCCTTGCACAGGACAGTGGTGATAGAAATGACAGTTTACCCAGGGAGCAGGATATTCTGCAGCCAATTAAAGTAATCACAGAAATCTATATGTTTACTAATATACAAAAGAAGTCCAATAACTTAAGTAACAAATTAAGCAAGCTGCAGAACTGTTTTCTAGAACATCATGATACTGTTAAAAAATGTTGAACATCCATAGGTCAGAGGACTGCCCAGAAGGCAACAGTCTGAATTGTTCTTTTTATCTTGAGCGTGGAAAAGTGAGGAGTAATAAGGGTAAAGGAGACTTTTACCTGTCACATTATATGCTTTTGGGTAAAAGGCAGCATATAATGTTGAGTCTCAAGCACAGGAATCACAGGGACCTGGGTTCAGATCCTACCCCCAGCACCTATTGTGGCGTTGGACAAGTCACCAGCTCTGGATGTCACACTGTCCTGGAAGGGTGAGAGGCATTGGAGCCCTCGCAGGCAGCCCTGCATTTACATCTCAGCTCTCCACTTGCTGTTCAGGGCTGGGTTTCCCAAAGTCTTGGGGTGACTGAAGGTGAAATGAGGTGATAATACTTACAGTGATGTTTGTCATACCATCACCCTATATCCAGCTATGTTGTAAAAACTTGACATATGGAACCTCAGAGAAACCTCTCAGCCACCCCTTTTAGAGTTGAGGCAACTGGGTCCCAGAGAGATGAAGTGGCTTGCCTGGGGTTAACTTCTCAAGAAGCAGGGCTGGGCTTTGCACCCTGGCAGCCCAGGTCTAAACCACAGCCAAGCCAGGGCTTATAGGCCCCAGGGAGCCCGTGGCTGATGCCCAGACCCCAACCTGCAGGAGAAGCAGGACAAGGCAGTGCTGCAGTCGGAGGTGGCCAGCCTACGGCAGAACAACCAGCGGTTGCAGGAGGAGTCACAGGCCGCCAGTGAGCAGCTGCGCAAGTTCGCGGAGATCTTCTGCAGGGAGAAGAAGGAACTGTGAGGCAGAGAGGCTGCTGCCCCCACCCCTCCACCTGGGCAGCGGTGGGGGGAAAGGGCTGTTGGCGTGCCTGCTCTCCTGTCTCCCTTTGCTCAGCTCCTGAAAGCAGGTGTGACCAAGATAATCCAGCCAGGGCCTCACCACACTCCCCATGGACACAGAAACCTGAGGGAGGCTTCTCCGGGATTGTGAGCTGGGTTCTGCTCATGGTCCTCTAGCCCCAGTGGGCCACAGGGTCTCAGGCCTCCCTCTGAACTGCTCATCTCTGGTCCCTGGGGGCTGGGCCCCGCTCACACTGCCCCCAGGGGCCCAACCTGCTGGACCCTACCTAGCCTCTTCCTAGGACCAAGCCATCAGACGCTGTAAAAAGGAAAGAGTGAGGACAGAAGTGAGTCTCCAAACCCCACAGAAATGGGCTCATAAACCAAGTTTCTTCACGTACAAGAGTTGGGGCTTGTGGGGCCCAGCCCCCTGCATGAGAAATCACAGTGTGAAAACAGCCTGTTCTTCCCACCCGCCCCCGCCCCGCCCCACCCTACCCTGGAGAGGTCAGGGCCCACGTGGAAACAGGCCAGGGCTCTTGGACCTTCATGCGCTAGCACCAAGAAGCACGGACATCATCCCCTCCCGACCCCATATTTCCAAAAACAGCCAGCAGCACTTTCTTAGAGCTTCAGTTATTTTTCTTGTTTGGGGGGGGTCCCAGGATGGAGAGGGGGAACCCCAACATCCCAGAGCCAACTGCTGTAAGGGGAAACTATTCGCACACCATTTCTACAGTCTTTTTCTATCAGTCCCTCGCTCACTGGGGGTCACAGCACCTCAGCCCCTTCACCTTCAAGCTCCTGCCCCGCCAGGCCCAGCAGCAGAGCCGCCATCCCTAACTGTGAAGCCACAGCCTCTTCCAGGCATCAGAGGGGGCTCCTTCGAACCCCCAGGTCATAGCTGGAAAGAAACAGCCTTCATCTCGTCTCTGCTTTTGTTTTCTCTTTGCAAGTCCCTAGGCCCATCTTGCAGCCCCCACAGCAGCAGAGACTGGGACACCTCACTGTGCTCCTTAGGGAGCCTTTGCTGTGCTGCTCTGCAACCCCCACGAGAAGCTGATTCTCTAAAGGCAATAAGGGGGCAGCTTGCCAGGCAGCGAGCTGGTGTGGTACTACGCTGCTCACCCAGGAAACAGAGTTTCTTTTTTCCTTTAAAAACAAATATATATATATATATATATATATATTTATTTTTTCATGTAGAGTTGCGCCAGAACAAGTCTGTATGGCCACAATTTGTGGATTCCCCCAACCTCAAGCTGAGGATCGAGGCATGTCTCCCCTTTTCGTGAAGCACCAGACCAGGGGAGTTGGCACGGGCCTGGCTCAGGGCAGCAGCCCTGGGCTGAGAGCCACCGCAGGAGGCCCAGTCCTTGTTTAGAGACCTCACTGCCTTCTCTTTGGGGCCAGAAACCTCAGGGAAGGGGGCACTGGGGACTGCCCAGGACACAGGCATTCAGGGAGCGGGAGAAAAGGACAGTGATCATGCCCCCCTGCAGTCAGCCTCTGGCCCCTGGCAGCACTGCAGTTCTGTGACAAAGCCTGCACACCTGCGCCACCTCCTCACCCACACCTGAGTTGTGGGACATGTGGCTGCAGAGGCAGGCCTGCTGGGTCCTCAGTCCTGGCCAACTACTGTGATGTCTCTGTCCCTCTCCCCAGATCCTCTTTTTGGATGGGCTTTCCAGGACCATCTCACCCCCTTCCTCACACTCTAACCTGGAGCCCGCCCCACCACCCCCCTTTTAAGTTGTCACCTCATCTTCAGATCATTCTAATCATTTTTGGGACCTAATCGTGTACATTGAAAAGTGTAAATTATGATTTTTGGTTTGTTTTCTGTTATTTTTTAAGGGTCTGCAAAACAAGTCTATTTAATATGAAGCTGGTGTTCTCTCTGATGGCTAAAGATAGCAGCAGGGGATTTTTCATATGTTGATCTGTTTCATTTGGATTTTTTATTCTTTTTTGTCTTTTTTTTCTATCCTTGTCTTGAGATTTTTCTGGCATGTTTCTGGAAGTTTCAAAGGAAATAAATGTTTCATAGAAATGGTTTGTGTATTCACTAGCTGGGCAGCTGCCTGGAGTCACTGATGAGAGGCGTGGTCCGGTGTCAGCCCCTCCTAATGTCTCCCTTGTCCCAAACACTCTCATCTCTCTCCCTCCCTCCCTCCCTCCCTCCCTCTTTCTCTCCCTCCCTCTCTCTCTCTCTCTCTCTCTCTCTCTCCCCCTCTCCCCCCATCTCCCCCTCCCTCCCTCCCCCTCTCCTCTCTCACCTAAAAATCCATGAATACTAGCCTTGCAAATTTTTTTTCCTTGAATCCCAAACAACAGATATCCACCACTCAGAGTGTGAAAGCCCTTCTTACCTTAAAAAAGAGGAAGGTTCTACCTCAGAGGTCACATACTGGAGGCCTGAAAGCCAGACCCAACCCACAAAGGTATGTTAGTTTTAGAATAGTGGTCAGCTTTTTAATATCTGGGGATTGAAAATGAAGAAAGCCAGATTTCCAGCTTGGTAAATCTGTCCTTTGCAGCAAGACTCAGAACTAAGGGCCTCCTTCAGCTGGGCTGGCACGCCAGGCCACGCCCCACCCCAGCGCTGGCTTATTCGCACCCCTCCTCCCAGCAGGAGTAGCCTCCCTCTGCCAAGCATCTAGTTGGTTGTCAGGGTGGAAAGCTGTCCCTGCTTCCAGGCCCAGGGAGCACAGGGAGGTGGGGGTGTCGAAGAGAGATGCTGACACCTCCTCTGTGAACTGCCCTGGCCCAGGCCTTCCTCTAGGGGCTCTCCTAGCTGGGCAGGGTCTTTAAACTGCATACCCCCAGATAGGTAGTTGCCTTGGTGAACACTTGCAGTTTGACCCAGGGATCATGATCAAACTGATTTTCCAAATCTCAAAATTCCACGTGAAAAGCCCAAAGTCTGGCCTGGATCTGACTCTGCCTGGATCTGAGAAGCAGCCCAACCTCTGACAGGGCTGGCCAGGTGGCTGGGTCTTTCTGGCCCTCCTCACCCATTTACCTGTCCCTGAGTTTTCCATCTCTGAGCTTCTCTGACTCAGACCCTTCCCTCACCACCACACACAAAAAAATATTTTTCCAAAACGGGTACATCCTTTTTCCAGAGGAGGTGGACCAGCTATTTCCACATCTCCTAAAAATTCTAATGTTCCAGACACTCCCTGTCCCCGCCCTCCTTGGGGCCCCATCCTCAACCAAGCTGCCCTCCCCCCACCAGGAAACGGTGGAACAAGCTGTTCTCACATCCTCTCCTGGCGCCTGCGACACACACCAACTTCCAACACCCCACAACTCACACATGCACATGCCAGCCCTCATTCTCGCCTAACTGTGCCCTGCTTGTCCCTTCCCCATTTTGCCCGATTTCAGCTTCTGCCTCTTCCCCTCTTTCTCCCACAGGTGCTCTCGGAGCCTCCCCCCCCCCACGTCGCCCTCCTGCCCCACCTCTGGCTTTCTCCTCACCCAACCTTTCTGAATCCCTTCATACCTTTGGCTCTCTCAAGATTTTTTCTATTGTCCCCTTAAATTTTTTGTGTCCTTTTCTCCCATGAAACCCCCTCCATCTCCCTGTGTCCTTGTCCTGAGACTTTGCCTGTCCCTGGATCCTAACTCTGTATCTCTCCCCGAAGTGCCTCTCCTCTTACTCTTTTTCTCTCTCCCAGTGTATGTGCCCTGGTTCTCTGCCTCCCTCATCAAATCTCTTTCCGTTTCTCCTCCAAATCACTGTCTACTTCCTCCTCTTCTCCCCAGTGTGTCTATTTTTTTTTAATATTATTTCCTCTCCCACTAAATCTCCATCTCTTCTCTTCCCCCATAATTTCTGACTCTCCTCATCTACATCTCTCCAGATCTTTTGCTTCCCTCTTCTGCTATGTCCTGCTGTTCTCTTTTTCCTGATTCTCTATAAATTTGTGATTCTCCTATCTGTGTCTCTCTCCTGGCCTGGTTCCTTCTCCTAACCCCATCTTACCCAAATCTCAGCCTCTCTCCTAATGTCCCAGTGTCCTGTCCCTATCTTTCTCTCCTATACCCATTCCCTTCCACTCTTGGCCCCACACAGGGAGCCCCAGGTAATGTCTGGTACTAGAATGAGGTGCTTCTGGCACTCTACCTCTACCCCAGCCCAGAAGGGGCTGCCGGTCTTCATCTTTTCATCCCTTCCCCCAACCCCCAGCTCCTGCCTCCCTCCTCTCTGCTCTCTGCTGCAGCTGCAGCAGTCTGTTGCCAGGGCAACCACAGCTGGCTGGGAGGGAGCCCCCTCCACCCCATCCCCCCTCTTCTCCTTTCAGCCAAGGCAGGGAGGAGGTGGGACAAAGCCAGAGAAAGGCAGGGTGCAGGGGGGAGATGGAGGTAGGGGCCAGCTCCAGCTGTTAACTTCAGTTGCTTCTCCCCACAAGGAGGCCCCAGCTCCCCTTCTTGGTGATGCCCCAAACCAGCCTGGAGAAGGAGGTGGTCATGGCATAGAGGTCAGGCCCAGTTTAATACACAGAACAAGTTAATTCACAGCAGAGGCAGGCAATAAAGGAGACTCGTTTACAAGGCAGGGGGGCATGCCTGGATTGGGAGAGACCCCCCCCCAAACCCACAACCTCACCCACTTGCAGTCTCAATTTCCCTTTTTTTAACCCGAACAACAAACACACACAACCACAAGAAACAACCACTCCCCCTCACTACCTCCAAAATGGCCAGCGAGGGGGGCAGGGGGCAGCCCGGCCTGGCCGGTGGGGATCAGGGCAGGGGGAGGAGGAAAAACTAGTCCAGTTGCAGAGTCTGTGCTTCTCATCCCAGCAGGTGCTGGGCAAGGGCCTGCCTGCCCCACCAGCAACACCTGTGGCTGTGGCAGGCAGAGGGGAGCTCTCAGGGAGGGGGCAGGAACAGGAACAGAGTTCAAAACCATGGTTCACATCATGCAGTATCCACGGTGGGCACCAAGAGGGAGTGAGGGGTGGACACCACACCCACCTGCCCTGGGCAAGAGGAGGGAATGGTGCCCACCTGGGGACAGGGAGGCAGGGTAGTTGCAGCTCCAAAACTGGGAGAAGGAGCAGCCAGGCAGGAAGCTGGCATAGACTGGTGCCCTGTGGACTTGCTCAGCAGTGCCCCCTCGACCCAGCCAGGCCTTATAGGACTCTTTGTATATATTAATTTCTTCTTTCTTTTTTTTAAAAACTTTTTGAGTTTTTCATTAGAAAAAGGCTGGGTTCGGACCGCCGGCTGGCATCCACCACCCCTCGTGCCCGCCCAGAGGCGGGGTATGGCTTTGAGGGGAGCAGAAGCCCCTGGTGCCCATTTGCCAAGGGATGGGGAAGGAAGGAGAGGAGCCCACAGGGCAAACATTCCACTGGCACAGAGGGAAGGGGGTGGCCCAGCCCCCTCTCAGGCTCCCCGCTCCCCCTCCCACTGGTGGGGTAT